AATCCACTGTTTTGGAGCCCTGTGTGTTTGTGCCATTGTGGTAACACGTGGAGTTACTAATACTAGCGCGTGCTAATCAAAACATCGATGCGTTTACCGATCCTGGTGAGAGCGTGACGCTACGATATCGCCTTGGAGAGGTTTACCAGTCTCATAAGTTGCTACCGAAGGGTGAATACGTTTCCACGCTGCCACCACGCCAGTTGAACCGTTGCTTATCACCCAATGCGATACCTACACACCAGGAACACGCTTGTCAAACTTCTGTGTTTAATGGCGGACGTTACAGAGGCCGGGCAAGGGAGATAACTCCGGAGACTTGTCATTACAATAACCACAGACAATAATGATGGCGGAGGGCAATCAAAACTTGTGTTTCCGGGGACAATGCCTGGGAATGCTCTGTTTGGGAAGCAGGATATGGTTTTAGTGTGTCTATAAGTTCAAATATGGAATGACGTGGTAGCCGGTAGCGCCGGATTATGCTGTCATCATCGAGCGTGTCAAGTACTTGACTTCGGTCTCGAAACACCCTTGGTCGTGATCGTATTGCCTTTTCTTCTAATAAGCCAAGCAAAAAATATGCCGCCATCTTGATACTAAAGTTACGTCAGAAATGCTTGATTTACGATAGGAACTGACCACTCATAATTTTTCTCTTAACTTTACGAGATATTTTCACTAAGATAGCTTTGTGGATCGCTTAAGATTTTTGTCATAAAGTTACGACGGGTTTTACGAAGTTCGTAGCGCTACGAAGGCTTTGTGGATCGGGGTCATATTTTCCCGATTTCCATTTCCGTCCCTGCTTACATCAGCAGCCACTGAGTGTCCATCAAGCAGTATTAAAGACATGGAACCACTGATCACATACCCAAAAGGACTGTATCAGCTAACATTTATTACAGTCAGTTGGATGTATATGTGATTTTTTTCATGAAATGTTCAAAGTATAATCAAAATTTATCTCCATAATTAATCTTTCTGTCGGGAACTTTTTGATGAAGGATTTCCATGGCGATGTCGTAGACTAACTGTTATGAATACCATTATCCGAAGTATATTTCAACGGACATTTAATAAAATGAAACTATGTATAACTGGTAATGTTTGACGAATTTGAAAAAGGTAATTTGTGAAGAATTTGAAGAAGAAAGAAGGCACAGGTTACCCGCCTGAAAAAAAAGGACATTTCAGATTAGCACAAGCCGTAACAAATACATTCACGGCTTGATGTCTTCTCTCACATCCGCGCTTGCACGTGGCATTTACCGCTAAAATTTATGGATAACATTATGTCAGTTGAGCGAACTTTGTCAGAATACGTTACGGCAAAGATGTGCATGTGTTGCAGTGGTTGAAATTGGCACTTGTCCAATAGTCCTTGCCAAACTGACCAATAGTTAAGTTAAAATACGGACAAGAAGAAATTTGCAATTTTTAAGGGTTTATCATTATAACTATAAGGAATAGAAGAAAAACGTTTAGTTTCTATAGTTGTGTAGATGTATGTACGTCATTGATTATGATAACATTGGTGAATCGATTTCTATATATCAATTAATAATTAAAATTGTATGCTTACAAATGCATACATGAATAATCTGTGAACATTTTTGAATATTCTGTTAATATTCCAGAGGTACACCCACACTTTCATAAGCCACTTTCTTATGGCTGTAATGGGAAGAACTTAGAAAACTATTTCTTATTCAAAGGTCCTTACTGTTATACTTACTGTCCTTAATATCCTTTATTTAATCTTTTGAAAAGTATCATCAGTCACAAATCTTGTAACTGTTTAAATGAGATATATAAGACAAATGTACAAATCTCTCAATATATACATATTTATTGTCAGTATTTACATGTGAATAATATGTACAATAAAAATAAAGTTTTAAAAAAGTGACGCATCATTGCTGGATACTGCTGAAAGCGGCATTAATCATACTCACTCTATTTACATGAAGTACATAATTGTGAACAAAAGATAATCCAAATAATCCAAATACAATGAATCGCCACGAATTAACTGGAATATTGCAAATGTGGCGTTGAATCATACTCACGCACCAACATGTCCTTTGATATATATACACAAATCCATTTTCTATTTACAGTAAGTATATATATATATATATATATCATTAATATAATTTAATCTATTTACAATGAATCGCTGTGATGTTGCTGTTATATTGCAAATACAGCATTGAGTCATGCTCTCTCACAGAAATATCCTTGTATAACATTGGAGAATATACACATTAAGTATTTACAGTAAGTATATATATATATACAATATATATAATCTATTTACAAAGATTCGCTGCGATGTTGCTGGAATATTGCAGATGCAGTTGGAATTCCTACTCACAAACAGATCCTTACATACACACACTAATTACATGTACAATAAATAGAGAACATAATATGAACATATGTACATTAAACTGCCATATTTTTGGGAATATTGCTAAAAGAGGCATAAAACAAACTCACTTCATTTACAATAAGTACATTATTATTACAATAGACAATGATCTATTTACAATGAACCGTCATGATGTTGCTGTTATATTGGAAATACGGTGTTACGTCATAATCTCTCACAAAAACATCCTTTAATATATTTACACACACATGAAAAATTTACAATAAGTACATATATACAACAACTTGCTGTGATGTTGCTTTAATATCGCAAGTGCGGCGTAAGTCCTACTCACTCACTAGTTATTTACAATGAAGCACACAGATGGGGAAACTGCTTGAAGGGTTGATATGATGGAACATGAGTCATGTTCCATCATATGCCAGTACACACAGCCTTTCACTCTTCAATGTGATCAGCTGTGTGATACTGACGGAAACAGCGTGCACAGAGGCCAACGTGCAGTCAGGACACCAGGTCCTGACCTTTCCTGCGGAGCCATCGATGGTCCTCTGTCTCCTTCTGCAGAGAACACACTGTTTCCTCTTCCCTTCAGGCAGCACTTCTATGAAGTGACGTCCGGCCAGTCTTCGGGAAGGAGGCTGGGTCCTGGGCCTGCCAGTCCTCCTCTTCACATGAGTGTTCCCGACGAGTGAGTGGAGAAGGGACATGTGGAAGTCCAGACGGGAGGTCGTTCTACCATGAGTGTTCAGGAATGTCTGATAGGCATTAACTGAAATGAAATGAGTATGAAACATTAAAATCAAACATTATGAAATAGCTGTTCAGAAGATGAGGTTCATGTTGATTAATCAGTACAATGAATAAACAGTGGACATGGTGGAAGTGGTACCAGATGCGAAATTATTCCATTATTGTATTCAGTTAATGCCATTCATTACATATTGGTTGATATTATCATGATTATGACCGTATGGTTGGTAGTAATCAGTAGAGGACGTCTCGCGTACAAGTGACCACCTGAGAGCATGGAGAGGGGGTCACTCGTATGCGTGACGGCCTGTCAGTGGACCATGGATTTCTGCATGTTGCACAAAAATGTATCTACAAGCGTTATTTGTGAAAATAATAAAACAAAATTAACTACAGTTATTGATCATTCTACTAGTTATCGAATGACATGAAAAAAATGTCATAAGAAAAATAGACCGCCTCCGTGGTCTTGTGGTAGAGCGTCCGCCCGGAGAGCGGAAGGTCCAGGGTTCGATCCCGGGCCGCGTCATACAAAAAGACGTTAAAAGATTGTACTTGTTGTTACCCTGTCTGGCGCTCGGCATTAAGGGGCTAAAACAAGGACTGGTCGGCTCGGAGTCAGTATACTGTGTCTGAGTGGGGTATTCATGTTAAACTGCGGCATGGTATCTCAGTGAGCTAGCACTATAAATCGGCATCAGTCCGGACTAGTACAAGCAGCCACACACACACATACACGTGCATGCACGTCGCTATATAAGTGCAATAATCTTGGACGCGACGTTAAACCCAATTTCACCTCACCTCACATAAGAAAAATAATAAACGGTCAAATTGGGAGAAAAATGTGCAAAAATCGAGCAAGATGTTCTGTTTTTGACAGCGATTTTCTCCTATGTACATATTTTTCAGAAACTAACATGTAGTATTTTCTAAAAGCTTATTCATCATGGAGTTACACAATGTATAAATTATTTCACGCACACCAACGCACACCCATTTTCCATCGCGTTGAAACATGTTTACTTTCTTTGAAACTGCGCGAACCGTCTCGCGTACAAGTGACTGATCGACAAGCCGATAAAGGGAGGTAACCGATGCCTGACTAAAATGTTCAATCGGAACATCTGTCTTGTTACACTAAATGTGTCTGAATCAGAATGATGCGTATAATATGCACGATATTTATTTAGCGCGTAGTTTCGTGGTTAGAACAAGGAGGAAATGTATTTTGATCACGTATTGGGAAAACAATTTTGGTAATGACATAGATCTAGAATTATAAGTTATTCCTAAATTCCTTGTTACCAAATTATTTGATTTTCAAATGGATAAAATAATTCTTACCTGATGCTGTGAGAAGAAAGTTGATTAAAACTTTCTTCCACAGCTTCACAGAGTGGACTTGGGGATCATACACACCCCAGTGAGTTGATCCCCAAGGTCAACTCCAACCATTAGAGTGTTGTACAGTCTAATGACTGAGGGCGAGTGACAGACCGGCCCCGTGAGTTAAGCCCATCATCCTTTCTGTAAATAAAATATTTCATATTAATTTTTTCAAAAACATGTACATAGAATCTCTATATTCTTTTCATCTTTATGAGAAATTTAAAGTTATTGACACTCATCAAAGCGTACATGTATGAAAGAAAATGGTCACTTGGAGTAGGAATCATACTGACTGAACAGCATTAGAAATTGGCACTAGTCCTAGGACTATTAGAAATGTGCCTTCTATAAGGGTTTTGCTATATGTCATTATAATGACTAGTGGACTGAAACTGTTAGTTTCTAACACTGCTGAACACTAAACAGAATATTGAGAAATATATTTAATATTTTGAATTTACCTTGGACTATCCATGGTAGATAGGATTGTGAAGACCTTCCTGTCTGAAAAGAGCACTGCCAGCAATGGACCCTGTCTTCTCACAATTGTCAAGCCCCTGGGTGGTCGTTTCCCAACGAAAGAGCTCAGCATTCCCTTCCTCCGGACGGCGACAACTCCTGTGCAGAATGTCTTCCTGTCAACTAGAGCATGGCAGAGAGACGGACTGCTGAAGTAGTTGTTGCAGATGATGTGGTGGCCCTTGTCGAGATGCGGTTCCATCAAGTCCAGGACCACACTATGCCCAAGACCTTCCATGGGCGGTGGTCCTCCAAGGTTCCGGCCCTTGTAGATACGAACTTGATTGGTGTAGCCAGTACCCGCCTCGGCAAGGATCCACAACTTCACCCCCCATCTGTGTGCTTTCTTGTTGGCCATGTACTGTACAAGGTGATGTCGCCCTTTGAAGCCAACCATCCTTTCATCAACGAAACACTCTGGGTCAGCCTGAAAAAAAGGAATTGTGTGTGATATGCATTACTTACCGGTAGAAGTTGATGGATGACAAAATAGACACAATGTATGGATAACAACTTATTTATTTACTGTCAACATGGTCAAGGTGACGTTTTGGTATAGATCCTTATATCTTTTTTTTTACTTAAGAAGTTTTCAATAAAAAATAGTTTTACAAATGTACATGTAACAAATCTGTAATTTTTGGTATATGTAATTTTCATATTGTCATTTACCATGTTTAATTCAATAGGACCTCACATCGGTTCAACATGAAATAAGTTCCATAATGAATAGTGTTCCAATACTTTTCATATGATATATCAGAATGGAGAAAGTTTAAAGGTAACATACCCATGAAAGTTTGCGAATGATCCATTCACAAGATCACGAACCGACCTGATATTGTGGAGGGGGTCGTGATCTGGCTGCCCTCGGGGCACTGCAACAGAGTTGTCTTTGCAGTGGAGGAACCGCATGATAACTTTGAAGCGATTCCTCGGCATGATCCCCCCGAAGGAAGGTGTTGACGCCAGCCAGTTGTTGTCCCCCTCATTCCAGTAGGAAGCGATGGTTGGCTTCTTGACGACACCCATGGCCAACAAGAGTCTAAGAAATGCTTTATCAGCCACAGGGTTAGAAATAACCGAGTTAAAAAAGAATCGTAGTGAAAATAACACTTCTTGCGCACCGGTGCATTGTTGACGTCATTCGAATCTCATTGTAACGTAAGGACGGAATGACGCCACACTAGAAATGACTGTAGATTGTTGACGTCATTGGACAAATTATGGTTTCATAGGACAGCAGTGGTGATCAGTGAAGGTTCTTGTAAACATGGTAAAGGATGAAGCAATAATGGGTAATAAAGAAATTATTACACGCACATGTGTGTCATAATGATTTGACAAAACTGGCTCTCGCTCGGGAAAGACAAGAATTCTGACACTCATAAAACCAGTAAGATACACATGCTTGTGTAATAATCTCCATCTATAAATGACGAGGGCAAGCATATCGGGGTTCATAAAAATCATATACTCAACAACAAAAGTTCCTGTGACACCAATATTTAGTGTATTTTTCAAACAAGTAAAGTTTGGTTTTCAATATTGTAGTGCATGTATGGAATCAAGTCACAAAAACGCAACTGCTACAGAAAAGCATGCATTCCATGCAAAAGTTGACTTTTATGCAAGCCCCATGTATTTCACTACCCAAGAATGGGTATAAAAACATGTGCGTTAACGGGATTCCATATGCATTGTTTACCATCATACTGACAACAACCACACAGAAAAACAACAAAATTACGCAATTATTCAACATTACAAAATGCTATGCCTGTCCGAAAATGAGCATCTGGGAGGCAATGGTATGCTTGAAGCAGGATCGAGTCAACGTGAATGGCAAGACAATTTAACGTCCACAGAAAGACCATTTGGTGTTTATGGCAACGTTGGCAACAGACGAATACAGTCAGAGACCATCCTCGGAGTGGCAGGCCATGCGTAACCAATAATCGACAAGACAACTAGATTCGAACAACACACCTACGAAATCGATTCCAGCCAGGAACAGTGACTGCAAGAAGAATCCCTGGCCTTCGACGAATATCTTAACAAACCATACGTCGCCGACTGAGATGTGCCGGGATTGTCGGCAGAAGACCCACCAGACGTCCCATTTTGACAGGAAACCACCATCAAGCATGTGGTGCAGACAGGTGAACGTTACGTCAGTCATCGTGTCATGGAAGAAGATCGGTTCGGGGGCAGCAGCGTTATGGTCTGGGGTGGGATTACAGCAAGACAGAGGACCCGCTTGATAATGGTAGAGGGAAATCTCAATGGACAGCGCTATCGCGACGAGATCATCGGCCCTGTTGTTCTACCGTTTTTGCGTCGTCATGGCCTGGGCATTACCTTTCAACATGACAACGCCCGGCCTCATATTGCTCGACTTGTTCAGGATTATCTTCAACAAAACAACGTGAATGTCATCCCCTGGCCGGCTCGCTCCCCAATCGAGCACATGTGGGATGAGATGGATCGGCGCCTTCGACGTGAACCACGTGTTCCACAGACACTCCAAGAACTTCGAAACATGCTCCAGCAGTTATGGACAGATATCGAACAGGACTTTGTGCGACGCCTGGTCCATTCCATGAGAAGAGGATGTGTTGCTTGCACCGCAACCAGAGGTGGACACACACGCTATTGATTTGTAAATTGACATTGTGGCATGTTCATGTTTTTTTATGAAATCACGCATTTTCTGAAGTCAGTATGGCAAATTAAACCATTTGAAAACTTACAGGAGTTTTTTATCTGTTGCAAACCGAAATTGTTTCAGATTTGGTAAAAAACATAATTTTGCATTAAATGTTATTCAGTGTCACAGGAACTTTTGTTGTTCTGTATATATGTGGGTCATATCACGTCACGAGACAACAGGGTATTGTCACCAGGTCGGGATTGTTGACGTCATTTGAATCTAAATGCGACGTGAGGTCGGACGTCATAGCTGAAGATGAGGTTGACATCATTCCATAAATTGTGGTTGCGCTGCATTTGCGACTTACTCGTGTTGTATACATAGTTTGACTTGAACACTCATATCATATTCTCTATTTACATTACGATGCTTGCTATTAACAGTAAACAACACTTGGCATTGTCCACATGTTTCACAGTTCTATCCTACAATCTCATTTAGAAGATACGATAGTTTAAGAAATTAGAAAATAAATCTCACGGTATTTTCAAGAAACCTCTTAAACTCACAGCTGGTTTCAATAATACTGCGTGAAGATTTGCGTCTCTAGTCGTGCCAGAAACCCATAATTGCAGGTTCGAATCCATGATCCGCCCTGACTATGTGTCCATACCATGTATACCATTGTAATTTTCACCAAAGTAGTAAACGTCTGATAACCATGATAACTGCATCACATTGGGATTACCACCCACATTAAAAACACACAAGAAAATGTTTGTTGTTTGTTTCTTTGTTGTTTAACGCCGCCCTCAGCAATATTCCAGCAATAGAACGTCAGACTCTTTTCACATTCGCTACTGTATCAAACGATATCGTGTTCAAGTTACATACAGCTTCATCTACAAATAGCATCTAGATTATGCAAATGGTTATTTACAATACAAAAACAACAAAGTTCATATAAGTTTGAAACTTGTGCTTTAATGTGTCAAATGCGTCTGGCCACAAAAAAATGTACGTCAAAAGTAGCCGATGTACATGATGTAAGATGCAAAATATAATAATTTCTAAGTAGGTGCATAAGGTTTAATATACATAACACACTTAGGGACTGCCCATTTTCTATTCGGGGGTGGAAGGGTGGTGGTGTCCTGGGATTTTGTATGGAGCTATTGTTTTAATAAAAGCTACGATCCTAAATATATTTTTTTCAAAAGAAAAAAAACCTTATAACAATATATTTTTTGTGTTAAGAGGCTAAAGCATATTCTTTAAAACTATAATCCTATGTGTATCTTTTTTGGAAAAAGACCTCACCTCATAACACTGTATTTTTGTGTTCAGAGTCTGAAGGATAATCATTATTATGCCTTGTATGGGACAAAGTATTGTTTCGACATAATCCCAGACACACCCACCCCACCCCACCCCACCCACCCTTAACATTAGGGTTGGGAATTGGACCAAAAAGTGTATTGCGATATATTGTAATATTTCAAAAACATATTGCAATATATTGGGAAATAATTTCTACCAAGAGAAAAGCTTTTTTCATATCCCTTTGACAAATATTAATATGAAAGCTGCAATGTTAACAATTTGGTCAAAATTATGAACCAATTTTAATAAATTGTACTATTATGTTTATCTACAATCAAATAAAGAGTATGAAGCATTTGTTTTTATCTTTGTTTTGATTTAATAAGGTAAGACTATACATCATGGCATATACATGTCAGTCACAGTCTCCAACCTTTTTCAATCACATTTGAATGATGTTACTCTCTGAAACAGTTTGAAAAACAATGAAACATTAACATTAACATAAATTTGATAAGAATTATACATCATGACAAATTCCATGTCAGTCATTGTCTCTCATCAAACATTGTGAAAAAAATTACACTCAATGTCAAAAGATACAACTGGTCAAATTTCAAATGTTTTACCACTACCAGCACTGTGATCAGTGATCACAGTACTGGTAGTGGCCCTTTTGTTCGGCACGATGTCAAAGGCGTCCGCCATGTTGGATAAACAATCAAGGAAAGTAACTCTAGTTCCAAGTTGTCAGCAACGTTCGTTCCCGATGATTTCCGATTGTAAAATAGGTATTTTTATCAGGTGGTGTTTGAATAAAGAGGGAAAAATCGATACGCCAAACACGTTTCGTGATGAATTTGTATTGCAATATACCGGTATACCGATAAAACCGCACATCCCTACTTAACATAAAACGCTGGATCCCCTTTGGTTCATGTAAATACACAATGCCAATCCTAAAGACAATCAATCTCTACTGAAAATAGATACTAGTACAAGTGTGCGTAAAATTTAAAAAAGCGTTGAACGTTATATGAATGGAACACTGCGAATCAGGGGTGACTTCAGGTGTTTGCAAAAAGGTTAAGCATATCCAGCTCTACCGATGGCACCCAACACTAACACATTGTGCATAAAAAAGTCAATGTTTGTTGCCTGATGCCGCACAGCTACTCCTGCCATACAAAGACGGCTTGTAAACAATCGAGTCTTCATATGGAGTGAGTGAGTGGGTATAATTTTACGCCGCTTTTAGCAATATTCCAGCAATATCACGGCGGTGCACACCGGTAATGGGCTTCACACATTGTACCCATGTCGGGAATCGAACCCGAGTCTTCTGCGTGACGAGCTAACGCTTTAACTACAAGGCTACCCAACCGCCCCCTTGACATGGAAGGAAGTGGCGGTTGTAGCCCACACGCTGAATGCTCGAGCACATTTCATTCACATAGATACAATGCGTGAAGCCCCTGTCTGGTGTCTTGGTATTGTTGGAATACTGCTACAAGAGGAGCAAAACCAAACGCGGGCCCACAGCCTTAATATACAATGACAAATGAACAGTTTGGAATGTATTTACCAAATAAATCTGTAAATAAACATACAAACAAACAAACGCTATCATAAAGAGCTGATTCAATAAGCAACACTAAAACATTAAGGTAGGGTACTATGTTCATCAATGACATGGTCTTACAAAAATAAAAAATAAACATAAAAATATAAAACGTATACACCCAGAACATGTATATAGTGGCATATATATATATATATACCGTATTCGACGTAATTGGCGCCCCGCTCTAATACGCGCCCATCGCGATATTTGCTAATATATTTGCTAGTGTACAATCCAAATTAGCACCCGTTCCGACTGATCAATGTGCGCACGACTTATTGATTCGTGTATAATACACACTCGCGTGTTATATGCACCCTTAATTGTGGGCAATTATATTCTGGAAAATATATCTGTCGTGTATGATACGCACATACTTTTCTTTTGTATCATTTCTGGCTGTCAGCATAAACTACGAAATTTACAATTTTT